CCACCAAGGGGTGGAATCATAGTTAATGCAGCAATAGATATTATATGACAATCCATGTAGTACATTGGAGATGGTGAATGTGAAAAAGGATGTCTACTGATTTCCAGATGGAGTAAGACCAATTTCTGACCTTTGGTTAATCTCTCCTTCATGATTTGTTAACATTTCTATTTTATGGGAACTCAGTATTTCTATTTTGACTGTGGTGATACTTCTTCTGGCAAGTCTTCCTCGCCATTAAAGTCTATATTCTATCTCTTCTCATTGCCAAGTCGATTTGAAAAACAAAGTTATTCTGTGGCTTTGGTAACTAATTGTTTTCTGATAAAAAAGGATGGCTTCTTAATTAGTAACAATGTCAAATTTGAAAAGCAATAGCATTTTTATTACAAATCAGTAGATCACTATTACAATGACAATTACAATGAATATTCAACTATTACAATGCACTTATAGTAGAAGAGAAAGCATCCCCAAAGGGGTGAACATAAGCCCGAAAGAGGGCACAATAGGATCCTCAAAGAGGGGGCTTAAGAAATTGATCTTTGCCTTTGGTAAAGATTGACCCCTTGACCTCTTGGTTGGCAGAATCTTTGAAAGAATCAGAGGTGGCAGTTGGTTGAAAAATCCAGGTGATAATATAATGAAAATTTTGGTGCAAGTGAGTTTCTATATTTCATCAAACCTCCCCCATTTCCAGTGCCAAATCAATTCCTTGAAAGTGTATTTACTAATTGTTGCAGCTTTATCTCTCTATTGAAAGAGCACGNTAATTATTACTCCTAGTCAAACAAATATTTTCTACCTAATATATTAATATTAAAACAAATAATAAAATTATAATTAAGTTTTTAGAACATATAGTGGCTTAATATTTTAAATACTTACACGTGCTTGGCTCAAAATCTAACCCACACGTGGGGACGTGTTGAAGTTGAAGTATATAAATATTTATGTTACACACACTAACAATTTAAAATTTTGAAATAGATGATGATTTGACATAAGTTTTAGAACAATAAAGAATGCGAAGTGAAAAAAGAGCATTATTGTCCGTAAATTTGGTGATGTAATACTTAGGGAACTAATAATTGTAATTCTTCTGACACCANACTTCTTCTGGCAAGTCTTCCTCGCCATTAAAGTCTATATTCTATCTCTTCTCATTGCCAAGTCGATTTGAAAAACAAAGTTATTCTGTGGCTTTGGTAACTAATTGTTTTCTGATAAAAAAGGATGGCTTCTTAATTAGTAACAATGTCAAATTTGAAAAGCAATAGCATTTTTATTACAAATCAGTAGATCACTATTACAATGACAATTACAATGAATATTCAACTATTACAATGCACTTATAGTAGAAGAGAAAGCATCCCCAAAGGGGTGAACATAAGCCCGAAAGAGGGCACAATAGGATCCTCAAAGAGGGGGCTTAAGAAATTGATCTTTGCCTTTGGTAAAGATTGACCCCTTGACCTCTTGGTTGGCAGAATCTTTGAAAGAATCAGAGGTGGCAGTTGGTTGAAAAATCCAGGTGATAATATAATGAAAATTTTGGTGCAAGTGAGTTTCTATATTTCATCAAACCTCCCCCATTTCAAGTGCCAAATCAATTCCTTGAAAGTGTATTTACTAATTGTTGCAGCTTTATCTCTCTATTGAAAGAGCACATACAAGTTCTACACTTTTGTGTTCTTGAAAAGAAACCCATCTCTGAATTACTGTCCGTCATGTGTCTTTGGTGTATGCCTGGAACACTAGTTCTCAAAATGATGGGTGAAACATCTTTCTTAGAGATTTAATAAATGTAGTTTCTGCATATAAATAAATACTTGAATGATGAAATCTAATATTGCCAATTTGATTTCTATGAGCTTTTGTTATTATTAACATTTTTTCCTCTGCAACTTAGTTCAGTCGTATAGTTTGAAGTGGATCATATGATATCAGGTAGAGCTGTATTCAGAGGTTTATAGCTCCATCAAAGTTTACTGAGATAACAGTGTCACTTTCAAGTTATATGCTCTCTGCTTATTTTTCCTGCATGGCTCCCCCGACATCTTTGTTTTGTTTCCCCGGCTTAATTTCGTTGATTTTTCATAATGCTTTTGCTATAGGATCTGCTGTTGGCTTCAGGTTAGATAGCCTCCTTAAACTCACGGAAACAAGGGCCCGGAACAACAAGATGACTCTCATGCATTATCTTTGCAAGGTACAGATTTACACTCAGTAGTTACTATAAAAGTACTACTCTTTGAAGTCTATTAATAACCTTTGTGGCATTACGGGCAATCTTATCTGTGGCATGAATGGCTTGTGCGGACTAAGTAGCATGTCAACACTTTTGAAAACTTGAAATATGTCCAAGACGAGAATGTCATAATTAAATCACATAAGACTTAGGGTTCAAATAATAAGAAGAGAAATCAATGGAATAAGCAGCTATAGTTGGAACATACAATTTCTGTAGTACAGACAATCTTTCAACTCTACAGCTTGTCCCAATTAGCTTTTTGGAATGAGAATCCCACACAATACAAATAGTGGAGAAGGANTCTGTGGCATGAATGGCTTGTGCGGACTAAGTAGCATGTCAACACTTTTGAAAACTTGAAATATGTCCAAGACGAGAATGTCATAATTAAATCACATAAGACTTAGGGTTCAAATAATAAGAAGAGAAATCAATAGAATAAGCAGCTATAGTTGGAACATACAATTTCTGTAGTACAGACAATCTTTNGGACTGCATTTGTACAACCCATTTTCTTATTTTTTGCTTCATTTGGGGGGGCGTAACTTGTCTGAATCATGTATTTTGGGGCTGGCTCAGTCTGAGAAATAATTGGGAACCGAAAAGGAGGTTATATCCTCCGCTAACAAAAAGATGCGACGGTAGCTTTGGAAGTCATAGTTCTATAAAGACTCATCATGTGTTTTTCCCCCCTCATAACAAGGATCTCTCTCTCTCTCTCTCAAGCCCTAATAGAGTTATTACTATTTTTTGATATAGAGCAACTCAGTTGTTATTACTATTTTGGTATCAAAACATCATATGTAATGTCAGCATGACGTTAGCACTTTTTGGCACCAAAGAGACACCATTTAGTTCGATTTTTCATGTGGTTATTTTTGTTTAATTTTTGAAGTCATTTGGTTGGAATTTTCTATTTTTGAATGATTTCTCGAAAATAGGGTCCAAAATTTTGATCTACTGGTTTGCGGCTTTTTCTTGAGATTTGTTGCCTTGATCCTTCACTGACAGCTCCGACTACATGCTTAGAAGGTTGGTTTGAGATACCCAATCCTCATGGGATGATTTAGCTGTGTTTTTGGGGATTTGTTTGCCAAAAGGTATTGTTCTAGCTATGGATTAAAATTTTGTTTCGGTGTATTGTATCAGTCACCTAGAAAATGAAAACATTTCGATGTGTTTCGGAAATGTCTCGATTCGTTTCAGAAATAGAATGAAAAAAATAAAACATTTAAGAATTTTTTTTTTAAACATTGGTAGAAATATATCAAAATATCTTGAAATACTTNACCGCCACCAAGGGGTGGAATCATAGTTAATGCAGTAATAGATATTATATGACAATCCATGTAGTACATTGGAGATGGTGAATGTGAAAAAGGATGTCTACTGATTTCCAGATGGAGTAAGACCAATTTCTGACCTTTGGTTAATCTCTCCTTCATGATTTGTTAACATTTCTATTTTATGGGAACTCAGTATTTCTATTTTGACTGTGGTGATACTTCTTCTGGCAAGTCTTCCTCGCCATTAAAGTCTATATTCTATCTCTTCTCATTGCCAAGTTGATTTGAAAAACAAAGTTATTCTGTGGCTTTGGTAACTAATTGTTTTCTGATAAAAAAGGATGGCTTCTTAATTAGTAACAATGTCAAATTTGAAAAGCAATAGCATTTTTATTACAAATCAGTAGATCACTATTACAATGACAATTACAATGAATATTCAACTATTACAATGCACTTATAGTAGAAGAGAAAGCATCCCCAAAGGGGTGAACATAAGCCCGAAAGAGGGCACAATAGGATCCTCAAAGAGGGGGCTTAAGAAATTGATCTTTGCCTTTGGTAAAGATTGACCCCTTGACCTCTTGGTTGGCAGAATCTTTGAAAGAATCAGAGGTGGCAGTTGGTTGAAAAATCCAGGTGATAATATAATGAAAATTTTGGTGCAAGTGAGTTTCTATATTTCATCAAACCTCCCCCATTTCCAGTGCCAAATCAATTCCTTGAAAGTGTATTTACTAATTGTTGCAGCTTTATCTCTCTATTGAAAGAGCACGTACAAGTTCTACACTTTTGTGTTCTTGAAAAGAAACCCATCTCTGAATTACTGTCCGTCATGTGTCTTTGGTGTATGCCTGGAACACTAGTTCTCAAATGATGGGTGAAACATCTTTCTTAGAGATTTAATAAATGTAGTTTCTGCATATAAATAAATACTTGAATGATGAAATCTAATATTGCCAATTTGATTTCTATGAGCTTTTGTTATTATTAACATTTTATCCTCTGCAACTTAGTTCAGTCGTATAGTTTGAAGTGGATCATATGATATCAGGTAGAGCTGTATTCAGAGGTTTATAGCTCCATCAAAGTTTACTGAGATAACAATGTCACTTTCAAGTTATATGCTCTCTGCTTATTTTTCCTGCATGGCTCCCCCGACATCTTTGTTTTGTTTCCCCGGCTTAATTTCGTTGATTTTTCATAATGCTTTTGCTATAGGATCTGCTGTTGGCTTCAGGTTAGATAGCCTCCTTAAACTCACGGAAACAAGGGCCCGGAACAACAAGATGACTCTCATGCATTATCTTTGCAAGGTACAGATTTACACTCAGTAGTTACTATAAAAGTACTACTCTTTGAAGTCTATTAATAACCTTTGTGGCATTACGGGCAATCTTATCTGTGGCATGAATGGCTTGTGCGGACTAAGTAGCACGTCAACACTTTTGAAAACTTGAAATATGTCCAAGACGAGAATGTCATAATTAAATCACATAAGACTTAGGGTTCAAATAATAAGAAGAGAAATCAATGGAATAAGCAGCTATAGTTGGAACATACAATTTCTGTAGTACAGACAATCTTTCAACTCTACAGCTTGTCCCAATTAGCTTTTTGGAATGAGAATCCCACACAATACAAATAGTGGAGAAGGATTGAGCAGTATTACCCAGATCATAATAAACTTGACTAATGGAAATCAAGTTTAAGGATATTTAAGGAATACAATAGACATCATAAAAGAGAGAGGAGTTAAGTCACTCCAAAGCATACCAATGGCGTGAAAATCTCATTGACAACAAGAATAGTAGTAGAGGAAGGGGGAAGTGAGATACAAAGAATTAAGAAACAAAGATGGATCAATGATTGTAGGATGCATCATGCATGACACTTAATCAAACATCTAAGTGAAGAGATATATACTGAAAGAGTTGAGGAAGACAAACCAAAAAAAGAAACAAATAAAGCATTAGAATGATGTGTAGAAATTTTCTGCAAGTGCTTGACACAGAGAATCAAAGCAAGGAAGATTGGGGCTGATCAACAATAGATGATGCAATACCGGAATTTCCATTTGCCATAGCCTTCAATACATTGACAAACTAAAATCTTAATCAATGATTAAAGTGGTCTGAAAGTTTCCATGTGCAAAGATTTTACCAAAGGGTTCCGTCAGTTGATCTGTGGAGTGCTAATAGAACTTTCCTTCATTTACCTCTATACTAATTTCAAATTTGAGAAAAAAAAACAACTGATTAAACTTATTTGTTCTGGATTTTCATGGGTACGGTGAAAGTTTCGTTTTAATGNAACAGATTAAACTTATTTGTTCTGGATTTTCATGGGTACGGTGAAAGTTTCGTTTTAATGATGCTAATAATGTATTGTTCCCTTTAGACTTGGGTAGGATATATTAAGATATGGTACACCTTGGCAGCATGTTTCACCCAAAACTTTATCTTGTCATGTANTGATGCTAATAATGTATTGTTCCCTTTAGACTTGGGTAGGATATATTAAGATATGGTACACCTTGGCAGCATGTTTCACCCAAAACTTTATCTTGTCATGTACTATATGTACCCAGCAGCTATGCTGATCTTTGTGGGAGGAAGCTGCAGCATAATCCAAGTTTTTTTTTTTTTGCTTTTTCTGTGCCTCAACTCATGGAGCAGATAGTATGTTTGACTGACTTTTAGCTGTGTTGAATTTTGTGAAGTGAATAACTGCATCCTTCTTCCTTTGGTCCCTTCTAGGTGTGTATTACAAAATTCTTTTGCCATTTTCTAGCCAAGTTTACTTTCTAAGGTTGCTTCTATACTACTACTATTGCACGGCAGAAAACATTTCCACACATTTTTTTTTCACCTTTTCCTTGTATATTTTTTGCTGGGTTCTATCCAGGTGATTGCTGATAAACTACCAGAACTTCTTGATTTTTCGAAAGATCTTATCAGCTTGGAACCTGCATCAAAGGTATTTTGTGAGTTTGCCAGACTAATATTGTTGGCATCTCTTGATTGGACTGTGTATTCCATTCAGATACAACTCAAATTTTTGGCGGAGGAAATGCAAGCTATTAGCAAAGGACTGGAAAAGGTTGTACAGGAATTGTCCATGTCCGAAAATGATGGACCTGTGTCCATTAATTTTCGAAAGGTACTCATTTATAATATTCGAATAAAAAATAGCAACATAATGAGACCATTAGACACCTGCATAAAATTCGTTGCAACTTGTTTCCTATTTGTTTGTGTTATGGACAGCATGTATTTTGAGTTATAGTTTTAACCCACCCCTTTGATTTGACTTTTTGTCTCTGCATTCCAAATGTTGATGGTTTGGTGTTGACCTAAAGATTCCAAGGCAGTGTTTCTGGGTACATATACAGCCTATCCTTTCCTGTAACAGCTTTATTGAGCGCATGCAATTTAGGCTTTTGCCTTGTGGGACTGCATTTGTACAACCCATTTTCTTATTTTTTGCTTCATTTGGGGGGGCGTAACTTGTCTGAATCATGTATTTTGGGGCTGGCTCAGTCTGAGAAATAATTGGGAACCGAAAAGGAGGTTATATCCTCCGCTAACAAAAAGATGCGACGGTAGCTTTGGAAGTCATAGTTCTATAAAGACTCATCATGTGTTTTTCCCCCCTCATAACAAGGATCTCTCTCTCTCTCTCTCTCTCTCTCAAGCCCTAATAGAGTTGTTATTACTATTTTTTGATATAGAGCAACTCAGTTGTTATTACTATTTTGGTATCAAAACATCATATGTGATGTCAGCATGACGTTAGCACTTTCTGGCACCAAAGAGACACCATTTAGTTCGATTTTTCATGTGGTTATTTTTGTTTAATTTTTGAAGTCATTTGGTTGGAATTTTCTATTTTTGAATGATTTCTCGAAAATAGGGTCCAAAATTTTGATCTACTGGTTTGCGGNTAGTTCGATTTTTCATGTGGTTATTTTTGTTTAATTTTTGAAGTCATTTGGTTGGAATTTTCTATTTTTGAATGATTTCTCGAAAATAGGGTCCAAAATTTTGATCTACTGGTTTGCGGCTTTTTCTTGAGATTTGTTGCCTTGATCCTTCACTGACAGCTCCGACTACATGCTTAGAAGGTTGGTTTGAGATACCCAATCCTCATGGGATGATTTAGCTGTGTTTTTGGGGATTTGTTTGCCAAAAGGTATTGTTCTAGCTATGGATTAAAATTTTGTTTCGGTGTATTGTATCAATCACCTAGAAAATGAAAACATTTCGATGTGTTTCGGAAATGTCTCGATTCGTTTCAGAAATAGAATGAAAAAAATAAAACATTGAAGAATTTTTTTTTTAAACATTGGTAGAAATATATCAAAATATCTTGAAATACTTNTTTTGGGCTTATCAACATTATATAATTTCAACTCATCATTTAGTTGAACTGAATGTGCTAGTGGAGCTTGTGGTGGAATTAGAGGGCTGTGTTCAACCACTTGTTGATTGAGACTTGAACAGACAAAACTATAATCTTCACTTGTCTTAGTTTCACGGACCGTAGCNAGTGGAGCTTGTGGTGGAATTAGAGGGCTGTGTTCAACCACTTGTTGATTGAGACTTGAACAGACAAAACTATAATCTTCACTTGTCTTAGTTTCACGGACCGTAGCTAGTCCCAAGTTCTCTTAATAAATTGATGGATGCTTGAATTGTATTTAATCTTTTATTCAATACTTCTTGTGCATCAACACGTTCTTGGAATAAAGCTAGTACTTTAGTATTTACCTCAACATTGGAAACCATCTTGTGAAGAAGTGACTTAAAAAGTTGTGAAAAAAAATTATGAGGGCCAAACTCTAATTTCAAAAAATTTTGGGACAAAAGTGTAATTTTTGAAACTGTTGGGGGGGCAAAAGTTTAATTTTTAATGTGGGCATGATTGGTGTTGGGCTTAGGCTAATTCTGGAATTGAGCTGATATTTCTGGAAGGGCCAAGGCTGAGTTAGGTTATGGGTATTGGGCAGTAAGTATAGCGTAGGACAATAGGAGAACTAACCTGTAATTTAGGTCGTCTTTTACACGATTGATTGAGTCACAGGCTCACATCAAACCAAATCCTTTCTCTTATTTCAATTACATAATCTGGACAGCAAGCAGCAAAGCAATGACAATGACGATGAATAGCAACAAGACAATATCATGTCTGTGATGATCAAGCAATAAGATTTGGATCGAGATTTTGCTCTGATACCAAACTAATGTAGGACGGAAAGGATTAGAAATTAGAGAATAGAAAGAGAAGAAAGAAAAGGGGGTGGACAAGATTTACCTCATCTTTGCAAGGAATTGGTCAAAAAATACACAAAATTCTCCATAACGAAATAAGTTTTTATTATATTACTCTCTCTAATAAAAATAGTGGGGATTATATCGATATTTATATGGCGAAGTCTCCTACCATAATAAAAACTACTATCTTAATAAAATTTTAAAATAATTTCATAACCAAACTCTCAAATTCCTATCCTACTAAAACTCCATAATAATTTCGTAGTCAAACTCTAATTATTACTCCTAGTCAAACAAATATTTTCTACCTAATATATTAATATTAAAACAAATAATAAAATTATAATTAAGTTTTTAGAACATATAGTGGCTTAATATTTTAAATACTTACACGTGCTTGGCTCAAAATCTAGCCCACACGTGGGGACGTGTTGAAGTTGAAGTATATANACAATGCACTTATAGTAGAAGAGAAAGCATCCCCAAAGGGGTGAACATAAGCCCGAAAGAGGGCACAATAGGATCCTCAAAGAGGGGGCTTAAGAAATTGATCTTTGCCTTTGGTAAAGATTGACCCCTTGACCTCTTGGTTGGCAGAATCTTTGAAAGAATCAGAGGTGGCAGTTGGTTGAAAAATCCAGGTGATAATATAATGAAAATTTTGGTGCAAGTGAGTTTCTATATTTCATCAAACCTCCCCCATTTCCAGTGCCAAATCAATTCCTTGAAAGTGTATTTACTAATTGTTGCAGCTTTATCTCTCTATTGAAAGAGCACGTACAAGTTCTACACTTTTGTGTTCTTGAAAAGAAACCCATCTCTGAATTACTGTCCGTCATGTGTCTTTGGTGTATGCCTGGAACACTAGTTCTCAAATGATGGGTGAAACATCTTTCTTAGAGATTTAATAAATGTAGTTTCTGCATATAAATAAATACTTGAATGATGAAATCTAATATTGCCAATTTGATTTCTATGAGCTTTTGTTATTATTAACATTTTTTCCTCTGCAACTTAGTTCAGTCGTATAGTTTGAAGTGGATCATATGATATCAGGTAGAGCTGTATTCAGAGGTTTATAGCTCCATCAAAGTTTACTGAGATAACAATGTCACTTTCAAGTTATATGCTCTCTGCTTATTTTTCCTGCATGGCTCCCCCGACATCTTTGTTTTGTTTCCCCGGCTTAATTTCGTTGATTTTTCATAATGCTTTTGCTATAGGATCTGCTGTTGGCTTCAGGTTAGATAGCCTCCTTAAACTCACGGAAACAAGGGCCCGGAACAACAAGATGACTCTCATGCATTATCTTTGCAAGGTACAGATTTACACTCAGTAGTTACTATAAAAGTACTACTCTTTGAAGTCTATTAATAACCTTTGTGGCATTACGGGCAATCTTATCTGTGGCATGAATGGCTTGTGCGGACTAAGTAGCACGTCAACACTTTTGAAAACTTGAAATATGTCCAAGACGAGAATGTCATAATTAAATCACATAAGACTTAGGGTTCAAATAATAAGAAGAGAAATCAATGGAATAAGCAGCTATAGTTGGAACATACAATTTCTGTAGTACAGACAATCTTTCAACTCTACAGCTTGTCCCAATTAGCTTTTTGGAATGAGAATCCCACACAATACAAATAGTGGAGAAGGATTGAGCAGTATTACCCAGATCATAATAAACTTGACTAATGGAAATCAAGTTTAAGGATATTTAAGGAATACAATAGACATCATAAAAGAGAGAGGAGTTAAGTCACTCCAAAGCATACCAATGGCGTGAAAATCTCATTGACAACAAGAATAGTAGTAGAGGAAGGGGGAAGTGAGATACAAAGAATTAAGAAACAAAGATGGATCAATGATTGTAGGATGCATCATGCATGACACTTAATCAAACATCTAAGTGAAGAGATATATACTGAAAGAGTTGAGGAAGACAAACCAAAAAAAGAAACAAATAAAGCATTAGAATGATGTGTAGAAATTTTCTGCAAGTGCTTGACACAGAGAATCAAAGCAAGGAAGATTGGGGCTGATCAACAATAGATGATGCAATACCGGAATTTCCATTTGCCATAGCCTTCAATACATTGACAAACTAAAATCTTAATCAATGATTAAAGTGGTCTGAAAGTTTCCATGTGCAAAGATTTTACCAAAGGGTTCCGTCAGTTGATCTGTGGAGTGCTAATAGAACTTTCCTTCATTTACCTCTATACTAATTTCAAATTTGAGAAAAAAAAAACAGATTAAACTTATTTGTTCTGGATTTTCATGGGTACGGTGAAAGTTTCGTTTTAATGATGCTAATAATGTATTGTTCCCTTTAGACTTGGGTAGGATATATTAAGATATGGTACACCTTGGCAGCATGTTTCACCCAAAACTTTATCTTGTCATGTACTATATGTACCCAGCAGCTATGCTGATCTTTGTGGGAGGAAGCTGCAGCATAATCCAAGTTTTTTTTTTTTTGCTTTTTCTGTGCCTCAACTCATGGAGCAGATAGTATGTTTGACTGACTTTTAGCTGTGTTGAATTTTGTGAAGTGAATAACTGCATCCTTCTTCCTTTGGTCCCTTCTAGGTGTGTATTACAAAATTCTTTTGCCATTTTCTAGCCAAGTTTACTTTCTAAGGTTGCTTCTATACTACTACTATTGCACGGCAGAAAACATTTCCACACATTTTTTTTTCACCTTTTCCTTGTATATTTTTTGCTGGGTTCTATCCAGGTGATTGCTGATAAACTACCAGAACTTCTTGATTTTTCGAAAGATCTTATCAGCTTGGAACCTGCATCAAAGGTATTTTGTGAGTTTGCCAGACTAATATTGTTGGCATCTCTTGATTGGACTGTGTATTCCATTCAGATACAACTCAAATTTTTGGCGGAGGAAATGCAAGCTATTAGCAAAGGACTGGAAAAGGTTGTACAGGAATTGTCCATGTCCGAAAATGATGGACCTGTGTCCATTAATTTTCGAAAGGTACTCATTTATAATATTCGAATAAAAAATAGCAACATAATGAGACCATTAGACACCTGCATAAAATTCGTTGCAACTTGTTTCCTATTTGTTTGTGTTATGGACAGCATGTATTTTGAGTTATAGTTTTAACCCACCCCTTTGATTTGACTTTTTGTCTCTGCATTCCAAATGTTGATGGTTTGGTGTTGACCTAAAGATTCCAAGGCAGTGTTTCTGGGTACATATACAGCCTATCCTTTCCTGTAACAGCTTTATTGAGCGCATGCAATTTAGGCTTTTGCCTTGTGGGACTGCATTTGTACAACCCATTTTCTTATTTTTTGCTTCATTTGGGGGGGCGTAACTTGTCTGAATCATGTATTTTGGGGCTGGCTCAGTCTGAGAAATAATTGGGAACCGAAAAGGAGGTTATATCCTCCGCTAACAAAAAGATGCGACGGTAGCTTTGGAAGTCATAGTTCTATAAAGACTCATCATGTGTTTTTCCCCCCTCATAACAAGGATCTCTCTCTCTCTCTCTCAAGCCCTAATAGAGTTATTACTATTTTTTGATATAGAGCAACTCAGTTGTTATTACTATTTTGGTATCAAAACATCATATGTAATGTCAGCATGACGTTAGCACTTTTTGGCACCAAAGAGACACCATTTAGTTCGATTTTTCATGTGGTTATTTTTGTTTAATTTTTGAAGTCATTTGGTTGGAATTTTCTATTTTTGAATGATTTCTCGAAAATAGGGTCCAAAATTTTGATCTACTGGTTTGCGGCTTTTTCTTGAGATTTGTTGCCTTGATCCTTCACTGACAGCTCCGACTACATGCTTAGAAGGTTGGTTTGAGATACCCAATCCTCATGGGATGATTTAGCTGTGTTTTTGGGGATTTGTTTGCCAAAAGGTATTGTTCTAGCTATGGATTAAAATTTTGTTTCGGTGTATTGTATCAGTCACCTAGAAAATGAAAACATTTCGATGTGTTTCGGAAATGTCTCGATTCGTTTCAGAAATAGAATGAAAAAAATAAAACATTTAAGAATTTTTTTTTTAAACATTGGTAGAAATATATCAAAATATCTTGAAATACTTTGAAATATTCTAAAATAATTGTGCCAATGCATTGAAATATAACAAAATATTTTGAAACATTATGGAACACCTCGAAGTGTTAGAATTTTGATTACATTACTGAGCCAAGAATCACAATATCGTTTCATAAGCTTGATGATTTAGGATCGGTTTTCTACTCGTCATAAGCTTGATGATAAAGTCATTCGTTGTGTTTTATGGGCTATTGTCATTAGTTTAAGGGGTATCGGTGTTATGATCATATCAGGCGTCGTATGTATTACAATTTAGATATTACATTTTTTGAGCACATTCTTTATTTTTCTTCCAGTCCTGTGTTTGCCCTTTCAATTGATGATACTCCCTTTGATTTTCTGTTACCGCAGGAGTTAGAGCCATTGGTCACTATCACTATAGAGTCATCAATCTCTCCTCGTTCAGAGCCACTCATTCCTGTCTGTACAGAGTCACCAGTTTCTCTTTCTTTGCAGGTTTATGTTCGTCGCCTTCGTTCTCATCCCCCTTCTGATGTCCTTTCTATCTCAGGCGATGCAGATAATAATTTTCAGTTCGTTGAGCATATTGATGTACCTGTTATTAGTACTGACGAGATTGAAGTATTGAGCCGGTTACTTTAACTGATGAGACATTGTCAGTGGAAAATGATGATTTAGGACGTCGTTATCCTCAGCGTGAACACCATCCAGTTGTTCGTTATGGTTGAATACTAGGACTTTATATTCGATCTCTACTTATCTTTCTTATGGTGATCTGTCTCCTACCTTTCGAGCTTATAGTATGGCCTTATCTTATCAGATACGCCGATTTCTCGCTCTGTTTCAGAGACTATACAGGAGCCTCAGTGGGTTCTTGCCATGCAAATGGAGATGGACGCTCTTGAGCATAATCATATATGAGATCCTGTCTCTTTACCTTCAGGGGTGAAGACTGTTGGCTATCGCTTTGGTTACACCCTGAAGCTTCTTGTTGATGGTACTATTGATCGTCACAAGGCTAAACTTGTGGTGAAAGGCTTTACTCAGGTACCAGGTCGTGATTTTGATGCTACCTTTGCCCTCGTGGCAAAATTGACTACTGTTTGGTGGATTATTTCTTTGGTTGTGGAGTATTCTTGGTCTCTTTATCAGTTAGATATGAAGAATGCGTTTCTTTACGGTGATTTGGAAGAGATTATTTATATGGATGCACCACCAGACTTTCGTAGTGAGGGAGAGTATGCTGGGAAGTTGTGTTGACTATTTAAGTCTCTATGGACTGAAACAGTCACTACTAGCTTGGTTCTCTCGGTTTAGTGGTGTAATCGTACATTTAGGGTTTCCCAGATGTCATTCTAATTATATATGCTTTATTCAACGGAATACTTCTGAATAGTGTGTCATCTTTTTGGTATATGTGAATGATATTATTATTACTGGGATGATATTTCTGGGATTGCACAAGTCAAGGTAGACCTTGGGAAGGCCTTTGATGTGAAGGATCTTAGATTTTTGCGATACATTTTTGGAATTGAGGTTGCTCGTAGCAGTAGGGTACTGTTCTTTCTCAAAGGAAGTATGTTATAGATCTTCTATTAGACACTGGGATGCTGGAGTGCAAATCGACATCATCACCCATGATTCTAAGTCTAAAGCTTATTGTTGAAGGTAAAGAGTTAAGTGATCTGATTGTCTATCAGAGGTTGGTAGGTAGACTTATCTACCTAGCCAACACTAAGTTAGACATTTCATTCGCTGTCAGCTGAGTTAGTCAGTTCGTGTACAGACTGTGTCAGTCTCATCTTGATGCAGTTTATCATATTCTTCGATACCTCAAGTCTTGTCTTGGACTTGGGTTATTCTATGCATCAGGATTTCAGACTGGTTCTCTAGCCTGTTATTCAGATTTAGATTATGGGGGAGCATGTGACAGTCAATTTATTACGGGCTTCTGTATTTTTCGAGGGACTCATCTTATCTCTTGGAAGAGCAAGAAGCAGTCAGTTGTCTCTCGCTCGTCAACAGAGGCAGAGTATCAGACACTAGCATTTGACACATATGAGATCATCTAGCTACGATTGATTCTTGGCGAGTTGGGATTTTCAGTGCCTTCTTCATCCGCATTATATTGTGATAACCGATTCGCTATTCAGTTTGCTTCTCACTCTGTACTACTCAAGAGGATGAAGCATATAGAGATTGATGTTCACTTTCTTCGGGAGAAGGTTAGTTGTGGTATTGTCACTCCATTGTTTGTGGGGATTAGTGATCAGGTTGCGGATGTTTTCACTAAATCTATCACTCTATCCATTCTTCGGGACTCCGTTGTCAAGTTTGACTTAGTTGATATTTTTGCGGCTAATTTGAAGAGTGTTGGAGTATAGTCTAGTTTATTAGGGTTTCTTTTTCCTTTTTTTACCCTTACTATAACGTTTATAGTTTGCCTAGACCACAAAGATATTTAGGTCACTTTGTACTATTATTTGACTATATATACGGGGTTTTACTCTTAGCTTGAGTATCCCTTTTNTTTATAGTTTGCCTAGACCACAAAGATATTTAGGTCACTTTGTACTATTATTTGACTATATATACGGGGTTTTACTCTTAGCTTGAGTATCCCTTTTTACTCACCAATACATCAAGTTTAATATATAAACAAGAGAGTGTAGGGCAACACAACCCACACATTCATTATATTTATTTTTCTCTCTCTTTTTTTCCCTCTTTTCTTCTGTTTCTCTCCCCCACCTCTAACCCTAATACAATTGTTATTACTGCTACAATTGTTTTTAAACTCCACTCGTGCTAGAAGTGACACTATCTTCAATGTTACAATTTGGCAAACCAAGAGAAAAAGCCCTTTCCCTTCCCTTCCCTTCCCACCCAACCCTCCACCCCACCCTCTTTAAAAAAACAAGAATGAACCAAAATAAAAAAACATGAATGAACCAAAAAAAATGAAAATAAGCAAGGCCAATGGTCGTAGAAGTAGTGCAAATGCGAATAGTTATACTTTGATGCATATAAAATCATATACGTTACCTCTCAAAAGTCCTATGTAGCTTGCAATGCTGTTGTGCCTAATTGGTTACTTGAACGGGCCCCCTCCAGTTTTATTTTTCTTAAAACAATTGGCATGTTTAACTTCTCTTGTCCACATTTATTCTTTTTGATAATGATAGCTTAAAATAACAAAAAATGTAACCTGTATAAGCTTATCAGAAATATAATAGGCAAAGATCTTGCAATGACATGTAATATCATAAGAAAATTAACGTCTTGGAACGTTAAAAATAAATGATGCATATACATTGCACCAAAATAAGAAATTAAATCACATAGAAGAATTAATGTTCACCTTAACCTTGGGTAGAAAAGCAGAGTGAATGAAAAAGAAAAGAAAAAATGAAATTGTAATTTCATCATTCTTGATTGCTTGGATTGAAATATTGATGACAAGGTTAGACTGAAAGTCTCATAATTCAAATTTAATGATTGATAACTTAAACCTATATAATGATTTGACAAGCTTTATGGACTTGTTGGTCCCAAATATCTTGCGATCAACTGGTACTTCTCTTGCGACAGAGTACTTCAGGCGATTGCTTGTCTCAGGACTTCCTTTGATGAGTTTAATCAACAGACTCAAAGCAAGAAAAGATGATTCCACAAAGATTAACAAAAGAGAATGCTTTTATTAGTCTGAAAAGAGGCTTCGGTTACAGGTCTCAAGACACTTGTTGGTCCCAAATCTCTTGATTGTGTCCATTCTCTGTAACTGATGTCCTTTTTAGAGTCAAATTTTGTCGACGGTTTTGTTATTTTCGATGGTCTCTTCTTCTAGAATCTCCCATTGATCAACTGTTATCTTTTGAATTTCAAAAGCCATTACCGGCCCTAATTCCCTCTTCGATAACTGCTATCTTTTGAATTTAGAAAGCCATAACAACTTGGTTGTTTTCCCCTGATAACTCCTACCATGTAATTGTTGTCCTTTGAATTTCAAGGCCATGCCAACTGGCCTGTTTTTCACGCGTTGCTTGGTTGCCTGCCATGTGGCAAGTTTTCTACGGACTCATTCATGACATGTGTTCTTTCATCGCATGTGAATTACAAAATATGGTCCAAACAACACGTGATTTATATTTATTTATAATCAAAGAATATTTCAAGTCAAATTTTGTGCAAGTGTTTGAAAAATACAAACGCATCATTTTGACTCTTGAGTTAGGACATTGCAAATGAAGGGTGTGATATGCAGTTATATCCCTACTGAAACTATGAAATATATTAACAACTACAGTATCATAAAATTAATATTCATGTGTGGCCCAAATCGGATACAGTTCTTACAAGGATAAGATGAAAGCACCATCTATATGTTCATTTATGCCACCTAGAGGAGGTGCTAAAGTCCCATAAGTAAGTTGCTCTAATTATTGTACCTATGTGATGCACTTTTCAGAAATCTGGAGCAGTTGTTAATGTGTTGTTTTAACTTTTAATTTTCTCTTGCTATGTGTATTCTTCTGATAAATCCAATTAACATTATGATTCTTCGTACTATGAATTTAAGTTGCATGGACTCTTGTAATGAATCAAGTACCTGCGTTGACAGTTGACACCTGGTAAGATATGGAATATGTATCCAAAACTTCTCGTCCTATGTGTACACACAAACAAATTCCAAAATTTAACTCTATGGTTTGACTTTACACAAAAGTTGCTTGATAAATTGCTATGTTGAAAACTCTATATATTGGATGCTATTTACCCTAGGAAATAATGTAAGTATACCAAGAGAAGTACTGTTTGTTGTGTCTCTATGTTGTTGAATTGGGAAATTAGATGAATCAACGCGTAAACATATACCGGCGTAAACATATACCGGCATCCTACATTCATACCCGAGTCCATGTAACATATGGCTTTATTTTTTTGGGGAAGAGAGAGAGAAAGAGAGAGAGAGATTGTAATTTTTTTCGAACTTGAACAACAAAATAAACTTCTTTTCCTCTATGATAGATCTTGAATCATAGCAAGAAGAATGTTGATATGGTAATTACATCTCAAGAATTATGTTGTGTTTGTTTACTGGGAACGATGGACTCTGTCAATTCTGCTTGCATTCTTCATTTTTCTGTCTGTAAATAACTTGCATATACGTTTGCATTGTCCAGGTTTTGAAGGAGTTTCTTTCTTTTTCTGAAGGTGAAGTAAGGTCCTTGGCTTCACTTTACTCTGGGGTGGTATGTCCCGACTATTTCTCTGAGGAGTAGCTATTAAGGTCCCACGGTGGCTCACCATTTGGTGTTCTTCCTTACTTGTCGTCTCTCTATTAATGGATTGATTACAGGGTAGAAACGTGGATGCATTAATTCTTTACTTTGGAGAAGATCCATCTCGTTGCCCATTTGAGCAAGGTAGTTGCTAGTTATAATAGGTTTACAAAGTTCTTACCATCTGCATGATATTAAGTTGAAATAGCTAGAAGAATTCGGCACTCATCAAGTTGTTTAATTCATCTGACAAATACTGTATGTGTGCGGTTGGGGTTCTTGTGTTTCCACCTTGGATTGATGATCCTCTTTCTAGATATTAGATCCATCGTACTAATGTGCCGGCTATCTTTTTCCCCTTGGTGAAATGAATCTATTACTTGCTTATACTAGTTACTTTCTCATGAATTTTTTTCACATTTATTTGACTGAATCTCCTAGCTAAGTGTAGTGTGACAATTTGTATGTCGTGTTAGGCTTAAAAGTTTTTTATTCCCTTGGCTTCAAGCTGTTATGATTGGATTGAACTTTAATTTTTAAGAGTTAATAAACCTCTGTCTTTGTTAATTAGGTAAAATTGGGGTTGAATTTGTGGCATAACCAGTTAAAAAGTTGGCGGATGTAATAGATTGCACCACTAACTAATTACTGGACTTTAGTAGCCTTCATATATGCTCTAATCTATAACATAATGTAAAGTATATGAATATGCACAATGGTTGACACAATAATCTGTTCTCTAAAGTCAAGCAACATATGCCTCTTTTGATGGGTTGGGTTGACTTCAGTCTTGAATATGAAAATATTTAATTTGTCGAAAGCATTTCAGTTTTGGTACAAGCAGCTGTTTTCTTGCAATGAAAAGACATTATTCTGTATTTTCAACCTAGTATAGCAAGAATGATGTATCTGAGAATAATGGATTTGATGTAGCTTGGAGGTTAAGGGGCAAAGGAGACTACAGAAGCTTTTACCAAATGTTGCCTTTCATTTTTTATATTTTATTTGTCTATGTTAAGCATTTCAGTTTCTACAAGCATCTGTCTTCTTACAATCAAAATACATTATTGTGTGTTTTCAACCTATCATAGCAAGACTGATGTATCTGAGAAATAACGGATTTGATGAGCAAAGCGGCACAGCTCATGTAGCTTATTAGCATTAATGATAACTGCGCTTGGAGGTTAAGGGGCAAACTAGATTGCAGAAACTTTTTAATATGCTGCCTTTTCAATTATTTTGCAATTGGTGCGAGTTTATTTAAGAAAGCCATGGTTTCATCTTCCATGGTTTGATTCGAAGTGGCTGGTTCGCTGAGTAACCTTTGATTGTGATCCACATGTTGACTTCATGACAAGAATACCGTGAATCTAGATGCTGGCCTTGTCACCTTAGATTCTAACAGCCTAATGATGCTTTTCAAAAGCATGTCTTTGTCCAGCTTGATTGGATATCGACTTCTGATGAGGAACTATAACGGTGATTAAATCCAGTGGTTCTATATCGAGTATCCACTAGAGCTTTATTTGTATTCATTTACTTATTAAATCCTAAACTGTATTAATAGGCTGAGTAAGGTTGTTAGCCGTAGTACAGACTGCATCTGACTAGTTCTACTTCATCCTAACAATTTCCCTTTCATTTGCTCCAAAAAAATAAAATTGTGTAGCTTATTAGAACGAGTAAAGATCCCATAGATGGTCCACTGATGTAATGCGCATAACAGAGAATGGTGTAATTGCGTATCCGATCTGCTTAGGTATTAACCAGAGTGCTGTTAAATTATGCGAGATCCTACTTCAGTTGGAATAGGTCTTGTAGGAGGGGGACCCACTAGCCCTTTAACCCTTTGAGTCCTCTTGCAAACTTAAAACAATTATTATGGTATGCTACTAGACATTTCCATCGAGAACTGATGTGTATCGTTTGACTATTCTGTTTTGTAGGAGGCTGCTCTTAGTAGTAAATCAGGTCAAAATAATATGCCAAATTCTCTTCCTCAGAACCTCAAGCTTTTGGTTGTCTTCTGCAGCCTGAGTCATACTGATGTTTCATGGTGCAGTTATTGGTCCTCTGATGCACTTGGCTGTAACTGCTTGATTAGTCAAATAAACTAGTTGGAAACTATATTTGGGCTAGTCACAAAATCCAATAGTTCCGTTTTCTTGTTCATCTTCTTCTACTTGGATATTGGTGAAGATGCCTAACCATCCGATCCCATTTTGTATATTGGCATGTTGGTTCGTTGGGGGCACATGCATGACACTTCAGAAGTACTTACTTCGTCTCTTTTTCGTTATGTGGCATGTTGTTTAAATCTTCTCTATCTTGGGTATTCAACTGTTGTAAAAACTGCATTTGTTCCTGGGCCTATACTGCTTCCCAATATACACTGTTTGTATAACTTTCTATGGATTTAATCTTTTCATGTGTTTTCAAGGAATAAATATTTCCCTTATCCATTTGATACATTTCTATTATTCACCAATAGTTGCTCATCTTATCTTTTACTTCTTTGAGATATGCAAACAATATACATACATATGCCCTTTCGTTTAAGAAATAGAAAAAGACCCCTTGAATTATTTGTTCTTTGAATTCTGCATAAAGTTGGCAGTGCCCTTAAGTTATCTCGTATCTTTTATAAAAAGTCTATGAATACGGACTTTATGGCTTTCCATTTTCTTTGTCATGCTTGCTCTACTGTTGAGGCTCATATCTGAATGTTTCTGCAGTTATTTCTACTATACTCAACTTTGTGAGAATGTTCAATAAATCGCATGAGGAAAATTGCAAGCAGTTGGAGTTTGAAAGAAAGAAAGCGGAGAAGGAAGCATCAAATGAGAAGTTGAAGATAAATGCTTCACAGACTGACACTGGACACTTCATGCATTCTCCAATAAAGAGTGTCAAATAATTCGTTTACAAAGCAAATCCTCTTCGTGGACGGGGGGGTGGGTAGGGGGAGCTTGATGGTGAGTGAGAGAAGATTGTATTTTGCTGTGATAAATCTGTTAGAGTTGTAAAATAGCAGAGCCTGCCGCAAGTGGCTGGGTTGTTTTTTTATTTTCTCAGGCAAGCGTTTACCATTCTCCTCATTTATTAATCTTATAATGTTTAAGTCCAGTTGAATTGATTTTGGTAATTCCATGACCGTTATTAATTTGGTATGTTCTTTTCAGGAATGAAGTCGGGGGAGTTGGCACAATCTTGTTTGCAGTAGGCTACCTGTAAATATTTGCTGGCAAAAATCTATGTAAGAAATAGGTATTGTATATTTTATTTTCATCCATCAATTGCATTTTTTATTTTGTTGCATCTGTCTTTTTTCAAAATAAAATTATTAAATTTGTCGAGTTAATGGAATTTTCTTTTATGTGACCAGAAGTTTGGCTTGTTATATAGAAATGTTCTTCTTCCACAAATTAAGATATGTTGGTTCTAGCACAAACCTGTTCTATTATAACTTCATTTTTACACCGGACGGGCCAACAGTGAGGATAAAAGAAAATTCATTCATTCAGTCAGTAATTAGTATGGTATGAATAGTCTTTAATAGAGAAATACTTGTTACTGGAGGTACTTAATACCATTCTTCTTAAAAATGGAGAGTTGATCTGCATTGTTATGCTGGAATGGAATTTATACCTAGTAATCAAATTTGTTATTGTCCAAAAATATAATTGAGTAGTACCAAATAGTTTCTGAAATTGTTTCAATTGTTGTTTCGTCAACCTCTCCTTATTATTGACCAGTCTCTCTCTCTCTCTCTCTCTCTCTCTCTCTCTCTCTCTCTTATTTGTTTTAGTGTAGAGATAGATGCATTCATCCCATCTCCTACCTTCAGAATTTGAATTTCCTTCAGTAAGTATTTTCTCATTTTTCTCGATGTCACACCGTCCATTATGAATTTTAGTGAGGTTTATTATCAATGTGTGTGTGTGTGTATGATGTGAGAGTGTATACTTTTGAAGTCGGATCAAGACGCCAGCGATTTTGTATAATATATGTTGGAATATATGTCTCTGCTCACTAATAACAGAAGTTAGGCGGATAGGTCACCTAACCTATTTTTAAAAGAGGGAGGAGGGACTAGTACTTTTGTTAGTTGAAGTTGCCAATGCTTTAAAGTATGTCGGAGTTGGTACAATTGAGTTACGAGGGAAGGGATTATAGCATCTAGGTTGGAACTTTATGGTTTCACCCCCCCTGACTTATTGGCCCAGAGTTTAATAACTAAATTCTCATGTGTGCGACATCTTAATAACTAAATGTTGAAATATATATATTCGCATCATTTTATCTTGGGAAGATGAATAGGGGGGGGGGGAGTCTTTTGACGTGAGGAAAATTTTTGAATTTAAGGTAATTTTTTTTTTCAATAAATATGAGATAATGTGACTTAATTTTTATTATAGAAACTAAAAATTTGAGTTAATTGAAAAATGTACAAATTCTAAGGGAGTAATTTATTGAAATTCAAACCATAGGAAATTGATTACAACTTGATCCAAAATTAAAGGGAATATTTTGTAATTAACCCATTTGAAAAATGTCACAGTATTGGTCAGTTTTGGATCTTGGAAAGAGTCCTTTTATTATTATTTTTTTAAAAATTCCTTGGCCAAAAACAAAAGAATTAAAACATATATAAAAAAGAATTCTCTCTCCAAGATCCAAAATACCTTTTTTTTTTTTTTGAACAGTAAAACTTACCTACCTTCTAGTGTAGGGTAACAGGATTATCTAGTGAGTCGTGCCTGTCACGTGCCGTCAACGGTAACCCCTCGTGGTGGGACAGCCAAGTTGAAGAAATGATTCTTCTCTTGTCTTGTACAACAGGCGACAACCATCCACCCTAATTCAATTCAATTGAATTTAATATTATTTTCCAATGGAAATGAAAGAGTTCCCAATACTAAAAAATGCAATCCCAAGAGATTTGACATTTACATCCCACTATTTTGCTGAAATCAAGGGGTCAGGGCATCAGTCAAATAATTTACAGAGACTGACCCAATGCATGTATTCATATCATATATGCAAGAGTGACATAAATTAGCTTAATTGGAATCATAAGTTGAATGATGCTACAATTAAAGATGTTAAAAAAATGACCCAATTTATTAATACGATACAAAATAAAATAATTTGAATCTTCCTTAAGTCGTTTGTTTAGTAAATAAGTAGACTCAAACACGACATAATTAATAAATGCATAGATATAGGTAGAACAACTCAAAAGAAATATACAATACGGTTCGTTTATATACCGGTTATACATGATTTATAAACGAAACGAATATGATATGACACAATTTGTTAGTTACAAATTAATAAACGAATCGGGTATGATTGATTTTTAACACGAACCCACTAAGACCTGTCACAAACTCGTTTTACACAAAATGATTGACAAGTCTTCTTATAACTAAACAAATATAGAGTAAAATCCTCCCCTATACATTTTTTTTTCTCTATTTTTCTTCTTGGTGGATCACGTACCATAAATTCATATTAATTTCATTGTATATAAGTGGATCCCTCACTCAGTGTTTACCAACTTAGTTTTCGTAAAGCAATCATCATGTTTAATGAATCAATTCATTCAGGAATTTATTATTCTTTACTTGGTATGTATGATTTTTTTACCCAATGCACCCCTTCAAAATCCTCATTCAAAATCCTCAATTAATGAGGACAGATTTGAATAATAATATGATTTTATATGTGATGGAGATATAGCAGCAACCTAGTTTATTAGAGTTTATTAAGTTTTTTTTTTTACCTTTTTATCTTTATTGTAACTTTCATTGGCTATATATACGGGGGTTTTATATTTAGTTTGTATCTTTTTTACTCACATTTATATCAAGTTGGTATTAGAGCTAAACCTTAACCTTAGCTCCTCCTCCACGTTGTCACCATCACCGCAGGCCATCCCAGTGATAGCCACCAACAACAGCCAAACCACCAAACCAGCGACATCTTTCCCAATGAAACAACTTGCAACTCTATATAAACCAGCACCCCTTACCATCGACTGCCCAAACATCCAAGCACCAAGCACATCATCCTCATCGACTGTCCAAGCAAAATAACTATACCAGTCAACCCATACCAGTCCATCAATAAACCCATACTAGTCCACCATCAAAATCGACTGCCCATATACCATACACCATCAAACCCAGTTGACAAAACCGAATGAACCTAAGACCCAAAGCCGATTGCACCCAACTCCAGCCGACAACTACGCAATACACCAACAACAACTCCATTGCCCATTACCTTCAGCATCCCTGACCAGCCCAATAAAAAAAAAAAAAACCAGCCCAATCAACCTAGACCCAATAAACCCAGACCAACCCAATAAATCCAGACCAGCCCACTACTGCCAGCCTACTTTTGTTCAGCCCATTGTCAGGCCGCATTTTTCGTTGTAGCTTCATCCTTTGCACTGTTTTGTCACAGTGTTGTCAATGTATGACCTTTTAAGAGGGGTTGAATCCTCTTCTCCGTTGACATGCTCTTGATGCAGTAGATCATTTATTTATATTTACTAGATTTCTAAGTACCGTTACTTGATTATTTGAGAGTTTTCTGAAACTTCTTTATCTGTTACTACTGTTCGACTGGAAGTATATTATTCTCCCTTATTTTATCCCTCTATTTTTTTATAGTTATTTTTCTGTCACGGGTGCCCTAGTATTATTGTTGATATGACTACTACTGAGGGACTTGAGACCCCCATTGTTGACACCTCTACCGTTGAGATCTCTATCGTTGAGACATCTATTAGTACTTTCACTTTTATGTTTGACTAGTATACAGTACATAGTGGCACAATTACATTACTAGCAATGCCGGACATGATCTCTCAAAAAGTTACAACACAGTTGTTGAATGGTCGTAACTTCGCTAGGTGGTCTCGTTCATTCTAGCTTTTTTTAGGCTGTGTAGGAAAGCTTGGTTGGCTGACGAGATCTCACCTAAAGCCAATTGATGCCGACCCTACATATTTTACGTGGTTCTCTAAGAACTGCGCTATTCTTGGATGATTATTTGGCTTGATGGAGCCAACTGTTTACAGGATTCACCAGTTTTATAGCTCTGTTTAAAAGTTATGGAGTGCATTATCAGATATGTATTCCCAATCAGGACGGGGAGTACGTGTTTATGAGTTTTCTCAAAAGTTCTCTTATGCTCAACAGGGAGATATGACCATCCAAGATTATTATGGCTATTTGACCCAGCGCTGACTTGAGTATGTGACTTTATGTCCTCTTGCTGTTATTTCGAGGATAGAGGCCGAGGGAGTAGCATTCTTGTATACTTGAGATTAGGAAGATAGGATTCACAAGTTCTTTATAGGGCTTCGTGATGAGTTTGAGGGATCTTGTTCCCAGATCTTGTCGATGTTAAAGTTTTCTTCTCTTTATGAGGTGTATGCGATGATTGAGCAGCATGAGCGCCACATCCGTATTGCATCATTTTCAGTTGCGGCCTTGACTCCTCCAGCTGACCAGATAGCCCTTGCAGCTGTAGGATCTCGTTCAGGATCCTTAGTCAGTGGTGGACAACGCTCAGACCAACGCCGTCAAGGTGCTCAAGATCAGTGTAGACAGAGAGATTCTCGTCAGTGTGATTATTGTGGCCGACTAGGACATCTCAGGGCTACTTGTTGGAAACTCCAGTCAGAGCTTAAGTCGCCTCCTCGCGGCCATACTGCTGCTATTGTTGAGGTACCACCATCTACTGTCGCTGCTCTTGTTGCTCTTCCTCCTTGGCAGAGTGATATGGATGCTATCAATTTCCGATTGGATATACTTATGTCCACCCTAACTTCTCAGAGTCCAACTACTGCTGCTGCTACCACTACAAGTATACCTCATACCTTTCATGTTTGTGTCAGTC